ATCCGGGCTAAATAATGTTGTGAAGTAACACAATTAGTCCACATACCTATATGTTCTTTTATACCACCAAACTTGTGGGTCGTTTTCAAATTAAAAGATGTTTAAATTTGAGATCGTAAATGGAAACATTTATCTCCCAAAATATAGTCTTTGATTTTCGTTTTTTATCAAAGTCGAGATATTTGATCCTTTATTACAGACGTTTCTTCAAAATCGACGATTATACAGTTTTTCTCTGTAATCACTGAGAATGAAACGAATCATAGAACTTAACTCTCAGGCAATTAACTCACTCCTTAACTTACTTGTATTTATTATAATATAACTTGTTGGGTTGAATTTCTCACATATATTTAAACTGTAAATATGTTTAATTTAAAATCTTGATTTTCAATAAATATATACTCAAGTTGTAAACTTCGCTTCTGTGTGTGTTTTTTTATGCTTTTTCATTGCTTACATCGACCCCTGGTTAGTACTATAGGCTGTCACACTTATTAGATTATTGATGTATGTACCTGTGCGGTATTTGCTCTCGTCGGAAAAATGTTTAGTCTATTGAAAAACGCACCACGCGCAGCAGGCACCGGAAAACTAGTCGACGCTCGACAAACTGTATACTAAAGTATTACACGAGTTGCAGCTTGTGGAGTCACGTGACTACAGGCGCGGTGTTTGGGATTTCCAGATGTGCTATTATTAGAACATTTAATTCAACGAGACGCAACAGCTGTGGAGCTCTGCCAAAGTACGTAGATCTTTTATACTCAGTGTTTTTTTTTCTACACTTGTCGGTCGAATTGAAGAAAACAGAACAAGATTGTATACAATTAACACTGGGGAAACGGGGGGGAGGCAGGTTAAGATTACATTTATGGAAGACGGGATCTTAGGAATTCTTACCAAATATTATGTCACCGGTTAACTCCGTGTTAAATTCTATTCTACTTTATTTCATGCTATAATTTCAAATATTTATTGATTATCGATTTATTATCGGCTGAAAGTCGTTATAATACCGTTGTCGTGCATTGTGCGATATTATTTGAACACGTCAATTAAAATTTATTGATTATTTAGTTATCTCAAAGTTATCACATGAGCATGAGATTAAGAAACTGCGTCGTGATTGATTATTATTGATTTCGGTGTTTGATTAGCAACTGGACCACGTGGATATGAACATTTAGGAGATTGCAACCAACAAACGCGATTAAGAGTAAAATAAATTCGCATTTATTTGAAATTAAATTCACCCGATAAATTTTTCTGAACACCCAAACTGGAAAACCCACACTTATTACAGATTTTGTCACTAGAGGTGTTTGCCGGAGTTCAAGGCTGGGTAACCAACTTTACCTCCTTATGAAAGTCGTTCTACAAATCCCGTCACGAATCTTAACAATAGATATATCTACCCCATTTTTAAAAAAAAATGGCGATATTTGCCAAGTTTGAAATAATTTGAGCTTTATGAGAAATAATATCCCATTCAATTTAGGATAAAAAACTCAGATTTCTTGAACTTATATAGTCACATGAATCCGTGGCCTAACTATTGCCCAGTGCGTCTAATCAATACATAACTTTGGAACACTTTGGAACCTTGAACCATGACCAGTTACTCCCCGCCCCTTCCATGTACGGATAGCAAGCTTTATTATATTCAAGAACCAACACATGTTAGTAACTAGATTAGTTAGCAAATTGCTTACATTTGTGATATTTAATACGAATTTCAATACTTTATATTATTATCCTATATATACTCACAAATACATACAATAAGTTTAGCCGTTTGATAACTGGGGGGGTGGCTTAAATTAAGCTCGTCTAAAGGCATTCGATACTGGTACATTTCGTACTAGTAATTCGGTAAACTATACAGTATTTGTTTAATTTAAAAAAAAACGAATGTTAATATTACTCCCCTTCTTTGTTGGATATGGTCTAAATGAACTGTTTTCTTGCCAGCACGTTATTCGAACTATGTATGCTTGGCAAACAGAAGTGAAAGTATTTGCATTTAAATTTAATAGTCTATTATTAGTTCAGCGTGGAAAGCACCGATTATATCATAATACAAATGCAGTGCATGTCACGTGATTACACCGTGAACCGTTACAATTGTTTTATTTGTTTGCTAATGAAGAAGTAATTGAAGCAGACATACATTTTATTGAACGCAAGATGACAAATAAACAAGTCACTGCATGACACAGTCCTCGTCAGTTCACATTGCAAATTCCATGATTTGTTTCATGAAACAAAACAACACATGGTGTATGCACTCATTTAGAACCTGATGTGAAATATGATCTAGTTTATGTGTCTT